TAACTAGTTAAACTAATATAATACAGCTCTCAGAATTCGAAGAAGATATTCTCTAACAGTTTCAAAACAATATAGGTCTAATTTTAGTGATGTTTTACTGAATAACTGGCATATTTATACATAACACCATAGATTTGAACAAAAAGCATCAATGTAAATGGAATACTAACTATATTTAATTAACTTCAATAATTATATAATGGGAAAATGTATTATTTCATTTCTATCAAGTGAGATATGAGATTAAAGTTCTGTCATAATGTGCTAACTAACTATAAATTAAAGACTACTAATTTTTCCAGGTTTATTTTTTCAGAAGAGGAATCAAAAAGGCACTATAGCGATGGCTTTTTAAAAGCCATACATTTTTGAAAAGCCATAAATAATTACATACTTTTCTCCCACTCCCATATACTTATGTTTTGCAAAGACAACTGATATTTCACATTGTGTCTTCATAGTTTTATCTGAACTCTGCTTCCCAGGATATTGACAGGGATGAACTATTTTCTTAGAGTAAGCTAAAATGCCTCATTGTGCTCCATCACAAGAACCCCCTAAAATTCTGATGCCTTGAATTGTTCCTGTTACCTGGTCCACATTGGTTTACTTAAGGGTCATCAAAGAAGTCTGGTTCTAAAACAATACTCCGCATTCTTCATTCTGATGAAAACCAAGTATTCCTCTAGATTGGAGAAGGTCTAAATATGTATCCTGTATTTGTTCAGGATGTTCTTCATACTGTTATCCAGTTTCAGGTACAAGAGTAGAATAATCGATAGTACGATATTCCCCAGGGTAATGCTACTCAAACTTGCTCAGTTGATGGAATCACTGATGGTTAAGGTTGGTTTCGTTTTATTTTTTATTTTGGAAAAACGTAACGATGACTAATTTTAACATATGAGCTTGAATATTTGATTTCTAGATGACATAACCATAATATATAGTTTTAAAATCACAAATATCCTCCCACTAACTTCAATAAAGTCAGGTTCTCTATGTTGTGTTAGGATTTATTACAATATTATTTATTAAAAATTTCTGTCCTTTTGCTGTTATTTCTTTTTTTACTTCAATTTTTATTTCCATTTTTGTGAACATATACAATATTATTTATGAGTAAATCTTGCTAAAATAAAAAAAAAGGAATCTGATTAAAATATTTTTGCCTACCTCAAAGCTTGCAGAAAATACAGGAAAGAAGAACACGGTTAATGACATTACAGCAAATTTCAGAATGAGAGAACCAATAAAGGACAAAAAATCCAGTTTCATCAATAAATAAGTTGCAAAAGATTAAATGAGAGGGGAACCTATAGATTAAAAGGGACTTCAGAAACATGTCAATCAAATGCCATCTTCATTCAAACAAATTAACTGTATAAACAAAAAATGAGATAATCAGAAGCTTGCAGACTTATGGAATTTGATAATACTAAGGAAATACTGTAAATATTGGTAGGTGTCATTATGCTATTGAGGTTTAAAAAACAGTGCCTTCTTTTTAAAGATGCATACTGAGATATTTATTGATATATGGATATTATATGATGTATGAGTTCACTTCAAAATAATCCAGGGAGTTAGGAATGAGCGAATGATGTAATAAATGAAACCAGATTGGCCATAAATTGATATAATTTAATTAGTTGAACTATATGTGTGATAAGCACATAGAGGTTCATTATGCTATTCTCTCTAATCGGCATATATTTGGAATTTTCATAACATAAGTTTTTAAAAACAAAAGCTATCATTTACTGTGAACAGAAAGCCAAAAGAAAATGTAGCAAAGAAACATATGGAATAATTCATTGAAAACAGAGAAAACTCAACCGATTCAGTAATATTTGGACAACGGGGAGAAATATTTCTGCCCAGGATGTGGCTGGTGTTCCACAGATAACGTTGATCTAGAACAGAGAGCCCTCAGGATGCATAGCAGATTAAAAACTTCAAAACTAATGTACCTGAATTATGTGCTAATAGAAGCGTGAGAAAAATATCAACATTAGCTAGAATGTAAAAAGAAATGCTTCCTTTTTAACTTTACTTCACAGAGCAAACACGAAGTCATACCTTTCATAGGTGTGCAGAAAGCATTATAGATGGAGTGGAATGGGTGGAGGAGGTTTGCGAGTAAATAGTTCAAAAAGCACTTTTGTAGTGTTCAAAACAGCAAATATTAGCCTTTTCTAACAAAAACTGAGTGTTTAAAACTAAACTGTGTATTAATGTCTTTCAAGATCCATATACTTTTATTTCATTAATTTCTCTTAGATGGACGTCCATTTTGGAATCCAGTTACCGAAACTGTTGTCAATATTTTTGCCTTTTATTCCACCAGTTTTGCACAACTGGGCTGGGACAGTATTGTATGGGACCAAATAATATAAGGCATCCATATTACTACTTCTATCTGAGTGTTTGCCTCGAAACTTCAGTGGAAAACTTTACTCTTCTGTTGGCCCATCCCTGGTCTTAGAGTGTATTAGTCGGGATTATAGTCAACTTGAACCTACTATTTAATCAATAGTTGAACTAGTCTCCTAAGATGCATTCTGTTTAACACTGAAGGAAACTAACACAGCTTGACCCTTGTGAAGTGTTGTGAAGAGCTGCAGTCAAGCGGAGACTTCTTTTATTCTGGTTGGAGTATTTTGTTGCTATCTTTACCTTGAGCTGGGCGGAATCGTGAATAGCTACAAAAAAATTCCTTTATCTTTGTTGCTTCAATGTTAAGAGGCCTTATTAACACAATGACATTAAAACTGGATTGAGTCTGTAGCTACACATTTAATTTTAATGCTTTCAGTAACTTAAACTAAGACGATAATAGCTACCATTTACTGAATATGTATTTTAACCAAACACTGAACTTGAGAGCTTTCTATACAGCATTATATTTATACACTTTTTCATTATTTATTGGCATTGCAAAAGATTATCCAACCAATTGCTCCTATCAAGCCCACTACTCTTTCCTCCAGACTTTGCAATGGCAGTGAGCAGAGCTATTGTAGCTTTTACATAAGTGTTCAGCAGTGGGTTGGACCCAGCTCATACTGATTCAAGAGACTGTCTTTTCCCAACTCTACATTAAGTGACATCATACTGGTAGTTTCAGATGGCCAGGATGGGAGAATTTACACTACAGAAATCAGTAAGAGAGCCAGTTGCTAAACATTTGCCAACACACCGCTGTATGCAACCCTCATTCATTCTCCAAGAAGAAATTTTGTCATTGGGAGTATTTGACATGGCCCAGTTATTGCTACTTTAGAGACAGTTTAACATTAAGACCTGACTCACTTTAAAGAGATGAAAGGAAAGAAATCAGGCTAAATAGTGAAGTCACAGGTAGGCATTCCACCCTCCAACCATCTCTGAATTTGTCTAATTTCTTGAAAGAACCAGGTGAGGGAGCCGCGGTCCTATGGGCATTCTTTCAAGAACTTGGGAAGAGGATTTGGGGAAGACTCTCTAATTCAAGGGTCAGCAAACTACAGCCTGTGGGCTAAATCTGCCGATTTCCTGGTTTTACAAATAACATTTTATTGGAACAGAGCCACACCTATTTGTTTATGTGTTGTCTAGGGCTGATTCCACACCTCAACAGAAGTGCTGAGTAGTGGTGACACAGACTGTACGGTCCCCAAAGCCAAAAATATTTACTATCTGTCCCTTTAAAGATAAAGTATTCCATGAGTGGCTGAGGTAGGCATGTGTTTGGTATATAAATGATGTTTTATTCTGGATTTAGTTCATGTAAGAATGAGGTGGCAATAAGCTCAATTTCTTTGCTTTTCCTCAATCTGAAGAAGAGACTAGCAGAAATCTAAACTACATGCTTAATTTTATCCTCGTGGACTCGTGCAATTTCATCATTTAGAGGAATAATTGCATTCATTTTGTCACAGAAATATTCTTATACTGGCTTCACATAAGTTGGGCTGCCCAGACACTCTACCTGGATATCTTTATTCAATTATTCATTCATTTTTTCATTCAACAAATTAATCTAATATTTATTAAAGCCCTAATATTTATTAAAGCCCTACTAGGTTCTGGGCACTGGGGGTATACTCATGAATAATCAAGGCTCCTGTTCAAACGGAGCTTATATTTTAGTGGGAACAGCATATAGGCATACATTTATTTGCTTGTTGTCTAATATAATATCAGGAAGTGATAAGCACTATGAAGAAAACTTAAAGCAAGAAAGGTGTTCCACAGTGAATGGGGTGCTTTTAAAGATGTTTAGGAAAGGTATCTCTAAAAAGATGACATTTGAGCAGAGAGATCAGAATAAAGTAAAGGAGCCAGTCATGCATCCCTGGCAGAGAGATCATAGGCTAAGGCTCACTAGCAGGCATGGCTGGGAAAAGGTAAGATGGAGAGTGAAAAAGGGGAAGAGTCATGAGAGATGATGGCAGTAAGGTAGACAGGGGCAAGGTCATATCTGGCTTCGCAAGCAAGGAGTTTTGCATGTTATTCTTATGACAGGAAAAACCACTGGGAAATTACAAGGAGGGTGCCGATTTGAAATAATTTACACTTTAGCACCCTCTCTTCTTTATGTCGTGGAGACTACTGTGGTTGATAAAGGAGAAGACCAGTTATTATGAGGCTATTGCAACAGTACAGGCAAGAAATGACCTGAGTTTTTTGGGCTTAGGTGTTACCGGGAACCATGAGAAGACAGTTAAAAGGATTTTTGATCAAAAATGCCTGCAGACTTTCTATGTCCTCTTTATGATTGAATGCTAACTTAGTTCTTACTTCATGGAACAGAAATTGGGAAAGAATTTACACATTCATTCAACAAACACTGATCTTTAATATTGAAAACAACAGCTGCTCTGTGCTTGAGATTAGAAGTTAAAAGAAGGTCTGTTCAGTGGAAAATAATGCACAGCAATCGGTTCCTCACATATTAGCTACCCTTTTTACTTTTTAAAACCTTTTCCCATTCTGACCTCAGACTCCTCCATTACCTTTTCTGCATCCGTGGGACAACTCTGGAACCATGGCTGCTCCTAGAGGCTGCTGCCTTTGAGGTGCTCTTGTCATCTAGAGTTTGAGAATGAAAGGCATGGATTAAAATAGAATACAGTCTATGAGGGGCATGTGCACGCGCACGTGCGCACACACACGCGCGCACACACACACATCGTAAGTCCAATATGCGATTGTTGAATCTTCTAATCTTCCCTTTCACAAATTTTACCTCTCACTATTAACATGGTTAGGTGATCCTTCAGCCAATTAAGGTATGGAATTCCTTTAACTCATGTTTTAATTCTGGTAAACTCAACTCTCCCTATTCCTTTCTTAACCTGTTCATGTTAAGCTTCTACGCGACATACACTAAAAATTTTAAACTGATTTCCTTGAAGGTCTTTCCCATTGTTTGACATACAAAGGTACATCTTCTCTTAGTAATTCCACAGCTCTCTGTGTTGCCATGGATATTGTGAATTCAATATCTGTTCCCAAAGTTATGTTTCTTTCTTTGTCTTACACAAAGGGCAGCTATTTAACTGATTGAAATCTTCCAAATGAAACATTCAAAAGTAGCTGGTTTTCCAAACCAGCAAGATTTAAGCCCTGGGAGTGAACATTTTGGCATTTAGTAGAGTGGTAGCGGTGTTCCCTGTCACATGGGTCTGCCTGTGACTCCAATGGAACCTTTTAATGTCATCTATAATTCAGGGTATGTAAGAGTAGAGAGAGGGGTGTAAATGAACTGGCAAACAGTTCTTAAAGCTGAGAATAAAAATACCCACCTAATATTTCTGAGAATAGAGGTTTTGAAATTGAAATTCTGTGGATTCCTAATTATAACAAATGAAATTTCAGTGTGACTTAAAAATTATTAGAGAATCAAGGAAATAATATGACTGCAAAAAGTTTCGTGTAGTATATATAAAATATATAACTATATATCACGTTGTTGTTATATTTTTAATTTTGAAAATACTCTATGTGTACAACCTTAACTATATTTTCTTTAGTGTTATGCTAAAGATAAAAAATAAAATGAGGACTTGGTAATCCTCCCCAAGGTATGGGTGAGCTACACTGGACTTCCTCTACCACACAAGCAGTGCTCAGGAGTGTGCCAGAGGAGCTTGGAAGGGTTAAAGTTTTGTCTGTGACACTGAAATTGAGGCCAGCTGTAGGTCATATTCACGTCCCAGTCACAGGAAAATGAACCTGTGAGACAGAACCTAATTATCTGCTAAACCAAAAGCCAGTCTCAGTTCAATAACTTACGACAGAGCTAGCAGCCAGATATAGTGTTACCATGGCAACTTTGGAAAAAGCTCCATTGCAGTTGAGAATAAGGAGGAAGGGAAAGAGAGTGTAACCCTAAATGTGCTGTAGCCGTTTGATCTCCGACAAGTGGGTCTATCTAGGAAACCAGGTTATTCTGTATGTGACTGCCATTGTCTATTCACTTTAATATCTGCTACAATTATTGAAAAGGAAAATGCAATTACAATGTCTTCTGGGCTTAAAAACGATTCCACTCTTTAATGGCTAAATGGGAATTAATTTTAAAGAGAAAAGTATAAGCTTCCTCTTTCTCCTCCTTCATGCCATCCCTAAATACAGATAAAGCAGGACACAAAGGGTGAGAATTCTTGACTACCTCATCATTGTCATGAATGAGGTCTGTGTCCATGAAATTCACTGTCAACCCTCTTTTCCTCTGCCTTGCAAATGCCAAGATATATTAAGGAAAACTTTCAGGAATTGAAGCAATACCATTTGCTTTTCTAAGGGGTAGGAGAACTGGAGAGTGGGAAAGAGAATTTTTTTTTTCTGTGGATTCTGCCTAAACTTTCCAGTGAAATGATTTCCTTGGGATATTGAGATAAGAAGATTCAAATGCTAGAGACAGGGAAAAGCCCTGTCAGGTTGGTCATTTTTCTTCTTGCCAGTTCACCTTCATAGTTCTTTCTGGAATACCACTGGAATTTCAATTTAGGAGATCATATGGCTTTATGCACATAAAAACTTCAGAAACCAGTTACCTTGAATACTGTGAAAACAACATCTCACTAAAAATATCAGCAGGTAAGAAACAAGAGCTTATCATACATCCATATGCACTTTGAGGAAGAATTCAGAAATATATTCCTCTATTTCTTTTTCATTCCCAATGGAGGCAAATCATGCTAAAGCTTGTCAGTTACAATTATTGGATTTCAACATATGTGACAATTTTGGTATGTCATTAATGATGTAATAAGACACATGTAGCACATAATGCTATCACTTGGGGTTGCTATCCAGCTGTAATACCAAATTTGAATCACATAGATATCTACGTATAAACATATAGATATAGCAGCGTGTTTCTTTGTGTATAACTCATGAACCCATTGGGTTTGGAATAAGGAGAGAAAGGAATATGGAGATGAATAATATCCTTTTCATATGCATGAATAACTTTGCAGTAATGCAAATGAGAAAACACAAAATGGAAAGTAGGTTTCTTCTAGCAGAAATATGACTAAGAACATAGCCTGAAATTTGCCAATAAATTAGAAGCACTTATGATATCTGTGGATTTTCTTTAAGATGTCACATCTTTTAAAAACACTTTACCCTACCCTATTATATTATATATTCAGTATATAATTATGTAAATATGGAAATCCACAACTTCAAATTCCTTTAAACTGCCACGATGCAAGAAAGGGAGCTTTAGGATTGTATGACAGAAGGTGTGTTGAGGTCTGGGGGCTGGAAAGCGACACCAAAGGGCAAAATCAAATTTCTGATTAATTTCCAGGTAGAAGTAACCTAACTTCTGCTTATGATCCTAACTTATTTTCAAGTAAATGAAGCCAGAAATTATACCCCTTTCTAAGATAGATGTTTCTGAGATCAGATTATTAAAAGGCTTGCAAAGATGCCAACTAAAACAATGAAGTTCAATACATTATTTGGATCTTGTTACTCCTACTACAAGTTTTTCTCTTAATCTTTTCACTTATATAAATTAGTTAGGAAAGTAAATGAAGCAATTTTATCAGAAAAACATCTGAAAGAGCTATTGATTCAAATGCTTTTACATTTTAGTCTCATCACACATGATTAGCTTGCAGATATGAGCTTACTAATGATGCAAAGCACCAAATTTCACCAGATTCTCTGTTCCACTTTAATTCTCGGGAAAGATATTAGAAGCACTAACAAAGAAATCATACTTTTTTTTTCCTCTTGGTGTGTTTAGTCAATGATTTTGAAAAGATGTGCCATGACAGTCTTTCTGAACTGTTTCTTTGCACAGTTTCTTTAGCTCCATCATCAGTATTTCTTACAGGCTTGTGGGTAGGTGTGTTTGTGTGTGTGTGTGTGTGCTTTGTTTTTTGTTGTTGTAGTTTGTTTAAAAGTCTCGCTGCCACCCAGGTTGGAGTGCAGTGGTGCGATCTTGGCTTACTGCAACCTCCCAGGTTCAAGCAATTCTCCTGCCTCAGCCTCCCAAGCAGCTGAGATTATAGGCATGTGCCACCACGCCTGGCTAATTTTTATATTTTTAGCAGAGATGGAGTTTCGCCATGTTGGCCAGGCAGGTCTCAAACTCCTGACCTCAGGTGATCCACCTGCCTCAGCCTCCCAAAGTGAGAGGATTACAGGCGTGAGTCACTGCGCCTGGCCTGCTTTATTTCTAATTACAATCCTAAAATACCAAGTGAGATCTGTGTGAAGCATATGCTCCAACCAGCATAAAAGCCTTGATGTGTTCAATTAACATTAAAAAAATACAATACAATAAAATGTAGCTGAAACTAATTTTACAACTTAAAATAATTTGCTTTCCATATGGAAGGTATTTAATGTATTTGTTGACTGAGTAAGTGAATAATTGAGCCTATCTGCTAAGGATCAAGATTTGATTATCTGCATAAAGACAAAAGAAGATAAACTAAAGTCTGAATGAAACTTAGAAAAAACAAAAAAAGACTATGCCCTATGCTACCCCTGGATAAGCTCCATGAAAAAAAGATTCCAGTTTTCAAGGTTCTTAATTCACTCACTGAAAAGGAAAAGAAAATCTAGAACAATAGTTATTACTATTGTATCTACAATGTTAAAATGGACTAGAATATTCTAGAATGAATGAAAATTTAGTGTATAATGAAGGTGGAATTACACATCTCTGATTTTCACTCCCTCCCGTAGAGGTTGTAAAACTAGCAGTGAAATAGGGAATGTTTGCCTATATTCAATTTTCTCTTCTCTCTCTAGGACACTAGTGACCACTAGTGTAAAACTAGGAGTCAAATAAGGAATATTTTCCTATATTCAATTTTATCTTCTCTCTCTAGGACACTAGTCTCTTCACTGACCCCAGTCTGGAAAGTTTCATGGTGTTCTATATGATGGATGACTACCTTCAGATCGTATCGTAAAGTCTTCTCTGTTTGATAGTTAACTATGATAAATTCTATGATCCAGGTCTCTAGGATTAGGTTAATATTTCTGGCCATGCACTTTAGAAATTAAAAGTAAAACCATTTCTTTCTTACGATTCTATCTCTTCCAAACCAGACCAATTTGTTTAGAGCTCATTACACTTGCTATAAGTTTAAAAAATAATCTAACCGTCACTTCAAATCCTCTGTTTATTCTATTCTTGATTGCATCTTCCTTCTCATGAAAGAAATAAACGTTATAGATCAAATGAGTGGACAAAAATAGAGCAACAGCATAATGTTAGGAGGTAATTATTTTGGTTTTCCTGATATCATTCAACTATACAGTCGATCACTTGACTCTATTAATTCTACCTTCTAAATTTTCTCTGATCCCTCTTTGCCTTTCTAATCCCACTGCCATTACCTTCATTCAGGCCATTATCATCTGTTCCAATGAATATCCACAGGGAATCATTACATATAATTATATATAAGTGTATTTATCAACATAGTAGTGTTTATATTAGTTAAAAATAAGGTGGAAGTAAATTCAATGTACATCTGTGAGCTGACTGGTTAAATAAATTGTATTAGTGTATCATAAGACAGTAACACAATAAGCATATGATAAAACAA